ACATCTGATTTGTTAGGGATTATCAACGCTTTCTTATCATATTATTCAGAATAACCAGCGCCTTTATCTGTGTTTTTCACATCAATAGAGCCACAGAAACGTCATATAGGTAGCAAAAGTTGAACATTCGTGATGAAATAATGAGGCTCCTTTTTGCAGTCATGTGTTATGTAATGGTCGTCTCGAAATACGTAGCACGGTTAATGGAATATTTAAATATTGTAGGTGTGGAATTATGTAATAAACTTTACAATGATGAGGCAGTTTGTGAGTGTTATTTAAAGGTAATTAATAAGAGTATGTCTAAGTGAGAACTTCTTAATTCTATATTCTAATTAATTGTTTTGTAGTGAGTGAGAATGGTTTTACGCCGCTATTAGCAATATTCCAGCAATATCACGGCGGGGGGACACCAGAAATGGGCTTCACACATTGTACCCATGTCGGGAATCGAACGCTTTAACCACTAGGCTACCCGACCGCCCCCAATTGTTTTGTAATACTCATGACAGTATTTTATTGTATTTTAAGATAATTCGATTTTGAACATTACCACTGAATCGTCTGTCTCATCTTTTAAATGTCATCTTATTAAGAGGCGACTAACGGGATCGGATGGTCAGGCTCGCTGACTTGGTTGATGCATGTCATAGTATCCCGATTGCGTGGGTCGATGCTCATGATGTCAATCACTGGATTGTCTGGTCCAGACTCGAATATTTACAGACCGCCGTCATATAGCTGGAATATTGCTGAGTACGGCGTTAAACAACAACAAAAAATAAATGTTACTTACTGCTTAATCTTCACAGAGAATGTCTTGCTTTCTACATGAAACCATTCCACTTAATTAATCAGATCCATTGCCTTGATAACTTACAATACAATTTAAAAATTAATGACATCGAAATAAAAGCGACAAAATATTCTCCTTAATCATAAGAAATCTCTGCTTAAAGCAGAGTCGATATACTATTATAACATTAGCATGTTGACAGCAGGTCAAAGAAGACAAAAGCCTATGGTTGGTTGGTTGGTTGGTTGGTTGTTTAACGCCGCACTCAGCATTATTCCAGCTATAAGACGGCGGTCTGTAAATTATCGAGTCTGTAAATAATCGAATAGGGAGATTTCGGAATAGATCTTTATACCGTTTTCAAGCAAGGACAACGGTATAAGGATCTATAACGAAACGTACAATAAAGAAGTTGTTCTCCATAAACGTGTCTACTTTGTCATCCGCCAACTTCTAAGAAATGCCTATCAAACAATTCAATTGATACCAGGTTTTCGACAAAAGATGAGCGTACCCTTGCAATTGTTCATCAGAAACAAAAACCACGGGAACATCTTATACATGGCAATATCGGGAATTGCATCAAACATCGAATTTTAATTGTGGTTCAATATATACTTACCATATCAAAGCATGGTTTGGTCATAATTTGTAGTTTAAGTATTTGTGCTCATTTTAACGTTTAAAGAAACCGTCATTTCTTTGGTCATTTATGTGGTAATAACAATCATATGCGTACTGCAATAAATAAAAGCGACAAAACCCTTACCATATTCATTAGAAATCTCTGCCCAAAGCAGAATGGATTGTACGATTCCGACTATATCATGAGCAGGCGTTACATCCCTGGCTGTCATCTTTGCTTATTGTCAGCACTGTTTACAACATTGCATACCGCTTGTTCTCTCATAAACATATCAAAAATAAAGACATAAAAATATATACTATCAATCTTAGCAGTTGGACCATGACAGTGCTTAATTTCCTTCGACATAGGTATTAAGTCCTCAAGTGCGTTGCCACTCAAGGTGAAAGTTTAAAAAAGCGGAAAACGCACTGAGAAATTATGTTTGAGTTCCTCAGACCTTGAGGGAAACAATTATTGTGCCTCTGAGCTAATCCCAACCTCCCGAGACGATGTTTGCGTAATATCGATGCGAGATGAATGCGTAAAATTTAGCGTAAAACGGCGATGTTTGGCTTTGCAATTTACGAATGTTGTCTGTCAGTTGAAAATATGAATGCAAACAAGGACACTGTAGAGTAGGGAGCGTCTTTAAAACGTATTGCTCTCTTCATAGGTGAATTACTACAACTTGAGATGACGGTGAGTTATCTGGAGAATAGGCCGTTGTTCTTTGGGCACTCTTTGGAAAAGGAGGTGAAAAGAGTCCTTGCACGTGAAATCCGGAAGTTGCGTAGTTAGAGCACGCGGTCCAAGGTCCATCTGACCAAATACACCTGAGTGAGAACTTCTCGTACCCAATACGCTGCATTGATCTAACAACACTCAAAAGTTTAATGTTTGTGTCCTCTTGAAGACTTAAAAGGTGCCGATGGTTGCCTGAAAACATTCGAGCCAATATTTGATGATGACTTTCGCTTGTCAAGCAAATAGCCTGCAGCGAATATCAAAGGACTTTAGCTGGGGTTCGAACCGGGCCTGATGAGTGGTCATACTATGTGAAACACGCTTTGTAAATATGTAAACTGTATTATATCCGTGTAACTAGTGGATCCCCTGATCCCACAAGAAGGATACATTTGGATATAACTTTTAGGTAATTCTGAAATCCAGTTCTCGCCTTTTCTAACCGCGGATTATTGCCCAATGCCAACTTTTAGCATCTGTTTCTGCTCTTTTCCTCGTGTGATTTGCAATATTTCCTCCTTAGCGATTGACACAGGACACTGTTGATTGTTTTGATTGCCTGATTAACAAGGTGATTATATCGTGTACACTTGACGCCTAGCTTTCCGATGTCGAGTCTCCTTATATACAAGGAAGTGTGCCAATGTTTTCACACCAAGGCGAAAATCCTGTTATTGGTGTAAAACAAGGTTGCCGTATTGGCCCTTGACTTTTCATAATACAAGAGTACAATGTGATAATCTCCAATGATCCCAGTGGTATCTTTTTCACAAACGTCGATACAATTATACGAAATTCGATGATATTTTGTACAAGTAGAACTGTTAAATATACGCGTATGTTTTAACAATAACTAAATTCACATCCTGTATACATGTGTGTCTCGCAGACTGTAGTGTGTGTGCGTGCGTGTGTGTGCGTGTGTGTGATGGCTTATTACGAAGAGGCATATTATAAGCATAGATGTTAGTGATTTATACCCAGGTCACACCCGGCGTTCCCATCAGCGACACAATGTTCTAAGAAAGTCTCTCTCAGTCACCAACAGGCATATATTTCATAGAACAACCAACCCGATTCTACTAGCATCCCCTTCTCAGATCTCGCTCCTGAAATTAAGGGAATTGGTGGTTCCTTTACTATATGTGGGTTCCCTCGTACAATTTTAATTAACTTTAAATTACTTATTTCGGGGACTGTATGTTTGTCTAGGTATGCAATTGTGTAACTACTTATTGCAATATGTTAAAGACAAGACAGAGATATTGCACTCATGCAACCTTTATCATGAATGTAGGCAATTACGTCTTTTTAAATCGTAACTTTCGGTTGCTACATAAAACATTAGTGTGTTTTAGGAGAATCTATTTAGCAGACTATTTAGGAATGTTGGACACTGAATCAATTAAATGTTGAATTAGTGTATGGCCAGAAGAAAATACTATGTTCTCCATATATAACATTTACGAAATTTGCGTCACTGTTTATGGCGTCTTGCTGACAGAATTACGACCGTTTTCTATGAAACAATCTGAGCAGTATGACACACACCGGATGAAACAATAGCTACTGCTTTGTACATCAGATGGCCCATACGTGCTACTCGCAACTACCGACCGTTTTTGCACGTTATACACAGGATCTAATTCTTGAAGCTTTTTCTTGTACCTTAAACGTAGATTATAATGTCAGGTTTATTATCGATGTCTCAATTGTGGTTAAGTCTTAATTGAATGGAAATTGTGTGCCACAGTGAAAAGAAACGCTTTGTATCTTTCTTTCCGTTTAGTACACGAACACACGCAAACACGTACGCACGCACGCACGCACGCACGCACGCACGCACGCACGCACGCACGCACACACACGTAGAGTTAATCCAAGCGGTAATTTTTCCAAATAAACTTGTTCGGCTAACTCTGTGCCGGATTAGCGAATCCTTCATTTCGAACATATCTCAACGAAATAAGCAGTTGATCATCCGGTAGGTGAGGTTTCCAGATTAATGGCGTCCTGACTAAAGAGGTATCACTGTATCCATGCGGTTGTGTGATATAGTATTGACATACCCAGAATAGGGTGATGTCTCATGCCTTGAAGTTATGGAACGAGAAAGTCCTGGTTTCATCGGTACAATTCATTGCTGCGGCCCGTTACTCCAGAAAACATATACACGCTGTTGTATTGAAGCCTGTCATTGTTTATTTGACATCCTGGCTGACTTACACCATTTAATCTGGTCCACACCTGACCTGGTAGTTTTGTTTGCAAAGTACCTTTTTATATAAGCGACCCAGTTCTGTTTGCCCATGAGCATCACTATAGCGCAGGGGAGATAATTCCATTGAAAAAGATTTAAACTGTGGAAAGTTCTAGGACGCTTCAATCGTCAGTCTGTTATACAGATATAATAGCTTCGTGTTTATTTCATGTACTTGATAAAGTTTATTCCAAGTTTATCTGCCCTGGGCGTTTGTCTGATGTCCTGATGTGGCGGTGGAAGCCCTGAGTAAATATACGCGTCTAACTTAAGATCGGTAGCTGTCACTACAAATGTCAAAACATGTGCCCCATAATAGTCCCAATTTGTCCAACATACGAGCCCATAATTAAAATTAATACCCTACAGCGAGGAACCAAGACGAGTCACGTGACGTACCGAGGAGCCCGAATGTCAACAGACGCTTGAGCCAATCAACATCGCGGACTCATTTGATAACCACGTGGTTCCCCCTGCGTGGCGTGATTGACAGCTACGCGTGACTGAGGGTGTTTCAATCCATGCTAAGACCGCCTATGCATATGCCAAATATATTCAATAGTCAAAATACTTGGTATGAGAGGAAGTGAACGTTAGATTCTTACGTTAAAGCTCCGTGTACTCGTTACATGTCGCTTCTCAAGAATGAGTTGTGTTGATATTATGTACCAGCCATATTCAACGGGATTCCCCTATCAACGGACCTCTTCGGAGGCCGTACAGGTAAAATATGCCTCAAAATTGTCACCTGTAATTTTTGCGTTCTTTTTTTGTCATGTTGAAGCCTCTTTGATCCCATGCCTCCTGCATTTCAGTTGTAACCACGTCTTCATTTCAGGCTAAGCCATGGCATACCTTTGTCTAGTATGAACTCACATTTCTAACACGGTTGCCATGACTTACAATCCAGGCAGTATTGGGCTATGTCTTAGAGTAATTCAAAGAAAAGCTAGGCCCCAGACCGTCTAACTGTTACCTGTCATTGGAGTATTAAATTATCGAGTACATTGCAACATTTTTGTTATTCTTCAGGCATTTAGCGTTCCCAGGATGCATGAGCCCCTGGATCTTGGGAGCTACACTGCCTCTGCATCAGCATCATCGGCTGTCAAGGAGGAAGATCTAGAGAAGGACTTACAGCCCAAAGAAACTCATTATTTGAACGCAAACTGTGTATTATTAACTTACTTTACTGGAGATACTTCAACAGTTGTTGACGAACACTTCACTCGAGCTCTCAATCAGCCGAGCAGTTTCGGCTCAGAAACACACACTCCGAAGAACCTTATTTCTAAAGGTAAGTTGCATTCTCTTCTATGGACAGGTTGTTATCATTCTCATGCCGCTATCAGGAACATTGATCAGGTCTGTCTTCTACTGGTCTGGTTTGTGATTGGTGTGTTGGCTATTCTCATGGACATATTTATGCCCTCTAAAACACTTGCTAGCCTAAACCACATACACAATGTGTCCTGTGTCCTATCTCTCATTGACATTCCAAATGGTAAGGTTTAATGTTAATGTCAAAAATGGATTCTATTAGGTTTTCCGATTTCAAAAGCATGTAACATTGGAAATGAATAGCAGTAATCAAGGCAATGCAGCCTATATAGTGTTCGTTTTCATGCATGTAATGTATTGTTAGTATCAATAGTGTCAATTGAGATCAAATGTGATGATTACAAAGCCTATGGTGGTCTATTTACGAAATTAACGTAATACACGAGTATAAAAAAATAGAGGGCAGCGTTACTTTTGGGGACAACAATGATATTTTGTGGGACAATGTTCATATTTCAGTCTGGTGTATCATAATGTGTATAAGATGAATAAATAGATGCGGAGCAATGAAAATATATCATACGTAAACTTTGAAAATTATGAATACAATATGGAAATGCCTGTAACCATTCTTTAAAGCATGAGGAGTACTCCAGAAGGCTGGCATAAAATTCGTGACCGTTGTTATTGTAACTTCCTTATAACAACATTATGTTCGTGGTACAATGTTTTGAATTACATAATGCACAACAAAATAAAATCGAGTCTTAACCATTCTAAAAATTTTCCCAGGAACCAATGAAATAAATCTTCATGTTTACTAGATACTGAAACAATAACGGTCTAAAAACAGACCCTTTCCGCACCCCAGCATCAAAACCAAACGGCTTGGGTTTGGTATGGCGAGATAGCCATGAGCTGAAAATGACAACCATATGGCGCTACTTCTTGTAACTTCGCTCCCAAATCAGATAAGGACGGAAAATGAGGACTCTGTCTTTAATAGCCTACAACGGATTTACAAATGAGCTTTAAACACCCTTTCAATTTTAAAGTGAAAAAAACGCAGCCATGTTTTCTCTTTTTGACAAATTTGACTACATCTTGGATCTTAAAAACGCATGCAGCATAATCTAAATTTTTAGATATCTCCTGTGATAATCCTTCGAGGTTGGTGTGCCACCATGAATAAAAAACTGTCATCCGATATTACAGTTTTAACGATAAACATTTTGTAATAAAATTTTCAACAAGTGGCAGTTCGACTTAATGTGTTATTACCATAGTGCTAAAGCCATTATAGAGGTTGAAACGAGGGAAGTGTTGCACTAGGGGGTCTTGTAAAATTTATTTTGAATATCGACCTTTGTACAGATAATTCATAATCCATATATGTAGACTTTAACACGTACCGAGACAACGTGCTGACGGGCCGCGAACCAAACTCTCTTCAATTTTCACTAAATATGGTAGGAACATTAACTTGAATCATTCGATACAGCAGGAGGCTACTGAGAACTGTTTTTGTCAATTGCTGTTTCTTGCTTGAGAAACGGGAACTGGCGCCGTAAATGGAACGTATGTTTTTAAAATTGTATAAGTATTTGAAATGATTCCTTTCATTTATACAGATGGATGATGCACGTGCAATAAAACTTGAGAAACGCTGTAAAAGATAATATTCTAGCCAATTAATACTTTGTTTTTAACTCAGGCTTTCAAATGTTATCATGTTTTAATATGTACAAGAGTGGACAAGCGAACAAATAATTATACATCTATGTCATATAGTTTTGATTTAATATATTTCTTTGGTACCTGTTTAGCTTCGGGTTAGTTTGTACCTTCAAAGACGGATTAAGCAATTCTCCCATTGTATGCATATGCTGTTGATTTGCTGAATTTCGATAAATTATGAATATAAAATATCAATGTTAGTAACTCTATATATTACCGCTTTAACATAAACATAAACATTCACATTTCATCAAACATACTGTTTCGCCTTTTTAAAGGAAACTACATCGTCCTGTTCAAATCAGTGGAGTATCAAAAATCGGTAATATATGCAGCTTAAGTATATTTTCAATACCAGACGATAGCCCTTCCTTCTTCTCCCTCGTTTACAATTCTTAATCTCAACTCTGGCGTATTTATTAAGAAGAATTATTTTACGCCAGTCTGAATCAAACGCGTTACTAATAATGCAAGCGTCCGTGAAATGTCTTCACAACAGATAAACAATCGTACATGTTGGTAATTAAACTGATTATCGAGACAGCCATCAATAACCCCTTGACGACCACTGGGCAGTCTTGGTCACTAAATGGGAAGTATTTGGCCACATAGAGAGACAGATCTGTGTGGTCAGCAAATACTACACAGACTTTGGACAACTCTTTGATCTTATAATATTTACATGATCTGTTAGGCATACACTGGTCATTGGTCAATTAACGTAATGATATTTACAATGCTGCCCACTGGGCCGGACTGCAAGGAGTCACATTTGAAATGGGTAACATGGTAACACGTGCTGGGAAAATCGCCAATTTAAATTTGGTTTAAGAATTATCGCAAGAGTATGGAACTGCACACACACGGGAGTGTTGACTATTCCTAGCATGTTGTCATTTAATAGGAAACACGGAGGTACCTAAACATTTGCGAAAAAAGATAAACAAGGCAATATGATAAACGATTTAATAAGAAATATATCTAAGATAGATTAATATCATGTCAATTGTCCATGAAATATACAGACGTCATACATGAACATCTTTTTAATTGAAGGGCAGATGAAAAAATATTTTGGCTGTAATAAATTATACACTTTGAGAACTATTAATACACACAGACATGTATATGAAAGTTTCTAATTATTCATACAAAATATTGACTGTCGGGAAACTGAACCCATTACATTTTTCATTACCTCGGGCGTTGACCGTACATACGTAACATAGCAACTCGACGTCAAATTCACGGGAAAGGTCAAAGGTGAAACTAAAACACTAATTAACATTTGACTCCCCCTGCTCCGTCCCCCCGCTCCCCAAAGTCCCCCTTCCCTACTAGCACCCGCACTCCCACCACGACTGTAAACACGGGCCTTCACGTGCAGCGAACCACAGAAAGTCTCAATTTTCCAAAACGACCCCCATAAAAAAAAATCTCAAAAAGCTATCAATATCGTGCCTACAAATTAGATTTTTGGAATTAGATTTGAAATGTGACAGTAGACTGTGATATAGGAGAGCCTGTTGACTAATCGCTGATATATGTATCTCCAGCCCGTTGCTCCATTACCCCGACCCCCACGGGTTGACTTCGCCAGGGGTCGTATTCCTGCCCCTCCCCACTCCGTGGGGGTCCCCTCGTGTAACATATAGAAGGTTGAAGTTTTGCTGGCACAGACTGTATTTTGGCTGTCTGCAGTGAGGGATTTCATAGCGTTATCCGCATGATGAACACAGATTTTAAATGTAAATTTACGGGGATTTTAGATAAAGCTGTTTCGAGGTATTTGGGGAGAAAGTAGACTTGCTGACTTTCGAATTGACAAAATTGTTTAGTTTTCAAACTGCTATGTTTACATTTACGCGCACTTCGTACAGAAAATGTATGATACAATCATAAATACTGACTCTTATCAGACCACGAATTGTTGGATAGGCATGAATATTTATCATATATCTATGTAATATTCAACAAACGATTTTTTAAACAAGTCGACTGGAAGAGACAGCACTTTCGAAAAAGAAATTGTTTCTATATCAGCTTCCAGTGCGAACCTTGAAATATTCCCTCTTTCGGCTAATATTGAAATAAAGATGTTTGAATGTACTTTGAAAGTTTGTATAGCACAGGAGAATTATGTTTGCTGAAAAATAGAAATAAGCATAGGATGTCTAAATATTATTTGAAAACACAAGATGAAGCCTTTTTGAAACTAACAACTCTGTTCATAATTTGGTACAATCGTTATTATTGTAATTATTTATCAATTTACGTATGAAGGGTAACCCTATAAGGGTATTATCAATAATCATGATAATATATTTTCTTGAGCAGTTTTATTACAGACGTACTTAATTTCTTCATTGGCACACATTGTAACATTCGTATGGTTCTTGGATTGTTCAATAAACCGTAGCGTAGTTATAAAATTTTGCCGATAAAATCACCAAAACATGAAATAAGAATTGTCATGCATTATTTGTTTTGTGAACATCTATGCTATAAATCAGTTATATAGTTGCTAACAAATGAACCAATATGTTTGTGTATAAACATAATTAACAACGTTTAAACCATTATCATTTAAATGCAAACGTTTATATTTTCTTTAATTATAACAAACAAAAAATATCTTCACACAAAACCGAAATAAGAGCAAGCAATAGAAGAAGCGCAAACTCTCCTGGTGTTTTTTGATTTGATTAAAATGTAAATTTGTTTTATTTCTTTTTTGCATGAACGTCAAGTTTATATTGTTGATGAGAAAATAAATCGCGTGCCGTTGCTGTGTCGGCATCAAGTATATCACCATTGATCGTTCCCATGAGAGAGAGATAAACTTTAACCCTCATCTCGACAGGTTCAGCATCGACTTCTAGAAACATTAATCGCCAAAAACATTGCATAATATAAGCAAGATCTGGCGAAAATAGCAAACGCTTTCTTTAAATCGTTTAACACCGCTACAAGCCATGATTACAGTTTATCTCCGAAATCCGACCCCAAGTTTATGTTCGTTTCGGAAGCTTTAAGCAAGGAACATGCTGGCGAATACAACACCACTGGTGGGAACAAGCGATGGTGCCGAGACGCCATGTTGCAAGTTCTCGCATTAAATGCTCTTTCATCCGCTTTCACGGACGCAGATTCGACGCATTACCCCAATGTTTGTCAACCACGACATTCGATTAAACATTTAGCCTAATTGAAGGTAAATTACACCCGTGAGGTCTTACATGTGGGGTTTTACAGAGTTCTGATGTTCTTAAGTCGACT